AGTTGATACGTTGACAGTTTCACAGCTGGTCAAAGTTTGAAAGCTTTTGTGGTCACGAGAGCATTTCCACAGGATTCTCGATCTTGCTTCATAGGTATATACATATACAACAGAATACAATACGTTTGTTATCCATCACACAATTCTTATATATACTGAAGCAGACGCGTCTGCGGAAGCCTAAATACCAGGGCGCCGCAGCTGCTAGCTTAGAGAAAGTTTGTCAATACGATTTTTGAACTTGGAAAAGCCTCTTCAGGTTCTATTGTTCCACAATCTTGATACCCTAGCGATGGATGTGTGGTCGTATCGGTCAGTTCTGAGTGTACGAAGTTCAACATGGTTAGAATCGGAGGCTAAAGAGGTGGGTATGTCTGGCAGGTAGATCGCGCGGCGGCATCATGGAGGAGACCTATGAGGAGCAAAGCCCATTGACGTAGCGGTAAAAGAAATCCAGATCGCCAATAACTTGTCGGTGAGATAGGGGATAGGGTCCCGAGACTGCCCGTTAGATCAGTCGGGCATCCCTCTTCTCAACATCATCGAGCATGGATGATGTCGTCGGGAAATATCAGTAGTATAGGATTCGCGACAATAAGGAATATTCTTGTAAATAAAATGTCGTACACATTAAGAATATGTATATTTGAAGCACATGCATATGAACAAACACATAAAATAAATACACTATGAGTACTCATTAAAAACATAGCTAAAATGCCCCGACAAAGAAACAATATGCAGTGTAAATAAAATATAAATAGTACAAATTACAATTGGACGTAAAATAAATGGGGAAATTGTCCGGCTGCCTTGAATTATTATCCCATCTTGGCTAATTTACTATTATATTTATATACATACAGGGAGGCGCATCGAAAACGAAACAGACGCATTTACTGGCAGCTCAGTTTTTTTTTGAAAAACGCTCAGACCCGTCGATTTTGTTTTCGAGGGGGACACAAGTTTGGCAAAAAATCACGTTAGCACGTGCAGCCCCCTGGGCTAAATGGAAAGGGTCGAGTGATAACTTGTTTTAAAGGTCTTTCAATTCCCTTTATAATGATATAAAATTAATGTACTTCAGTTCAGTAGTTTTGAAGATTTATTGATTTAAAGCTTAAATAAAACTAATACATCATCATTAGTGGAGATCAATACATTTGGCAGCAAAGTAATTTAAAAATGAAGAATGAACTGACCCGTTAGGCAAGTAAATGTTGAAAATGGTCACCATGACTCTCCATGCAATAATAAAGATTTTGCTCAAAACGTTGCCGCACATTTTGCAATATTTGAGGAGTAATTTGAAGGCACTCATTCACAATTCTTTGTCGCGGGTCTTCTAATGATGTTGGCTGAGTAGCATAGATTTTGCTTTTTAAATGAAGCAATATAAAGAAATCCAAAGGTGATAAATCTGGCGATCTTGGGAGCCATTCAATGGCACGGCACCTCTTCTACCAATCCATCGATCTGGAAACGACTGGTCTAAATATTGTCGAACACGTAATGCGTAAGGTAAGAAAAAAGGACCAACTAATTATCGCCAAAAATACCAGCCCAAACATTTAATTTTTGTGGCTGCTGTGTATTAACCTCATGATAAATTCTGGGACTAGAATCGGACGAATATCGGCAGTTATGACGATTTACTATGCCATTTAAGAAAAAGGAACACTCGTCGGAAAAGCAAGTGTTGAATAGAAAATGTTCATCGTTTATAATTCGTTCACTCATATCTTCACAAAATTGTAATCGCCGATCAAAATCGTCTTCATTAGGTTCTTGTACCAGGTGAATTTTATACGGATGAAAACTATGGGCCTTTAGAATCCGTTGGACAGACTAACACCACACACGGTCTCCAATTTGCGGGTACTTAACGTAAGATCTACATAAACTTGCTCTAAAACCTCCACTTCTATTGCTTCGTTCCTTATGGGATTTTCAATGTTCTGTTTTTTATTGGCGACTGACCCGAAATTTAGCTACGAGTTCTAGAACATATTTTCGATGCACGTTACTGTTCTCATTTCGCTCATTAAATATTTCTGCTGTTCTATTAGCGCACTGTTTTTTCCCGAAAAATATTTCGATAATTTCAACTCTTTCTGCTGTGGAATATACCATGGTTAATTTATGTAATAAAGCTTTACAAGTTATTTTAGCAACAAAGTTTGGTCAAATCAATTACAAACTATGTACTAAATTCCTATTTAAAATAAGTACGAGATATTTCCTTATCTTTCTTCAAGAAACAATTTTTTGCCACAAAAAACGCTCCAATAGCTATTTTCAACAACAAAATGATAAACAAACCATGGGCGTAGTGAAGAAAAGCATTTACTTATTAAGTAAATTCTTTTAGTCAAATTTCTTCTGAAAGTAGTACAAAATAATCTGATGTACCTATTAAAGTTTACTTTAAGCTTTAAATCAAAACTACTGAACTGAAGGTCATGTATTTTACATCATTATAAAGGGAATTGAAAGACCTTCAAAATAAGGGATCACTCGACCCCCCTTTCCATTTAAGATTTTAGGGTTGGTGTCACCCCCGCCCAGGGGGCTGCACGTGTTAACGTGATTTTTTGCCAGACTTGTGTTCCCCTCGAAAATAAAATCGACAGGTCTGAGCGTTTTTCCGAAAAAAAAACTGGGCTGTCAGTAAATGCGTCTGTTTCGTTTTCGATGCCCCACCCTATATAATAAGAGTTCGTGTGTTATTAAAGCGAGTGTAGTCAATATTTTATATTTCTTGAAAAGTCCTCTGCCTGGCTTAAGATAGGAGGTCACCACTTGCTCTTAGTAGATATTTTAGACACCTCTTGTGAATAACCAGACCTACTAGGGCTTCACATAGTCACCATAGTCACTTATTTTACCTTTTGCTCCCTACGCGAGGAAGTATTGTAGTCGCGAAAATTTTTTGTCCCGACTGACCGACAGACTGACCGACGGAAATGAGTCACATGGGTTTCTGTGGTGTAGCTATTACATAACATCAAAAAAACGTAACACCTCATTTCCGAAATAGCTTTTAATATCTATTTAATACTCATTTCAATATCATGAAATAGCGATGAAATTGAACTAAATACCTAAATATTTTATCCTATACGTAAATCTGACAATATCTGAAACAATTATCTATTTTCAACATTGCAATAATCTATAAAAGATCTATAATTAACAATATTTCCAATCACATGACATTATTAAAATTAGACTAGTACTATTCCTGAACAATCGATTTTTATAGTCATGTTCATTGAATCAGTCCATTTGCTCAATGCATTAAGGAAACAGAAATGAAACAATTAGCGTTAAAGAATATTATCAAAAAAGGCAAATCTCACTACTTCAACGTGGTAGTATCCTTGACTTTTAAAAAGGTTAAGTCGCGCTGAGACATGGAGAAATAGTTATTATTTGCATTATAGCAACGTAACAACTGCAGAATAATAGTGAAGACGAATGCAATGATGCTTCGGAATCTATTGTATCGCGTTAGAGTTAATATTTTAACTGTAGCTGAACTTTTATTGTCATTTTTACCAAATATAGTGACTCTTCGATTGTCAATATGAATGTAGTGAAACATTAGTATTAATTTCTGTGTCAAGAAACTGCAAGTTTTTGATCTCATATCGGCACTATCGGCACTTTAAAAATACGATTATTAAATGCTTTCCTTATGCCCGATTTTACTATTGACTAGTTGGAATAAAAATTTGCGTCCGTGGGCCAAGGAGACGGCATCCTTGAAGTAACGGATCTAATGGATATGGTCGCTTTCTTGTACAATGTCTCTCTAGAGCATAATTATACGGTTTGTGATGAATCCCTAATTTCCAAATTAAATCAAGAAATACGACATAAACCACTTGGTTTCTTTAACTATCATTAAGTAAATAATCAATTTATTTGACTACCCTGCCATAAACCCTGCTCTTCCAGCCAGCCCTGTTGCTGTTAACGTGAAATGCCACGCATTTTACTGGACGGTGGGACGACTACACGATCGCGCTGCGCCATGGTGATGATGGCAAGACTAGAAGTAGCTGTCCTGCTGCCCAGAAGACGGCGCGAGAGCCGCCTGCTGACAGTGCTGGTTTAACGTTTTTCGCACGGTAGTTAAGTAAATTGAACATATATACTCGATGTTTCTTGAAGATAAGCAGTTATTGTTATAATTTATTGTAAAAAAATTAAATTTGTTGTGATAATATTTCATTACTATGAACATCTGCTAGTGACTTTTATGGTTAAATGAAAGAGTAGTAAACGCTTAATTTCGTCATTTAAGTCCTACCTCAGCTGCGTTGCAATGTTGTTGTAAAGAAATAAAGACGTCTTTTAATATTATTATTAATATTATTATAATTATTAATTTTGTTCGTCAACAGCCAGGCACTGTTATTTTTAATAAAATGCAAATTTAATTGTTGTCATATCAATCAGATTTATGTCTGTGGTTTGAGTATGGCACAAATGCTTCTTTTTCATTGGTGCAAACCGTAAAATTTTGCTCTAGGGGCCGTTCAAGTATTACGTAAGCAGATTTATTACAATTATTTACCCCCCCATCCCCCTTGTCAGCAAAAGTAAGTAAAGCTATTACCCCCTCCCCCCATGCTTACGTAAACATTTGTCAATTAATGTATTGTTTTTTTTAATATTATAATTATAACGTTATAATCATAATTTGAAAAATAAGAAAATAGATTTAGGATAGAGATTATATTTTACTGATACGGTATTCAATATAGAGTAAAGGACAAAAATATTATATCTTACTAACATAACAAACTTATTTTAAATTTTTGGTACATATATTAAATTCAAATTAAGTCTTCAGTCCATGAAACCCGAATCCATGATTCTAAGTTTTCGATCACATTGGATTGCTTCGATTGCTGCTCAGTGTTGTGAGTTTGCTCGCTTTCATCGGATTTTGGAATGTCTACGTCGTTCTCATCGAGCCATTCAACATCATGGTGAATAATGCACATCGGTTCATTAGCACGACGAGCAGCGACTCTTACAGGTCTAACTTTCCTATCAGTGTGCGTGTTTCCTTTTTATGGATATTTTCGATGTAACGATTTGGTGACTTGACGGAAGCATGATAAAAACCACACGTTTTGCATGTTTGACTAGATAGCCTCAACTTTACCGTCGGACAAAAATAATCGTAGGGCATTTGCAGGCAATCTTTGAGTGAAGAAATTAAGCGTAAAGCTAAATTGACTGGAAGATTAAGAAATTGCCCCCCTTCATCCAAAACCAAGTCATCAACTGTTTGTTTTACTTTTACAGGTGGTGGAAGAAACCTATTGTCTAGTAATCTAACTAGTTCACTTCTTGGACGACAGCATTCTGTATGTAAGATCTTGTTCACCTGCCCCAACATATTTTGCATTAACATTATAGCCATCAATTTCCATTGAACACCATACTTCAGCTAATACATTTCCTGCAAATTCGAAATTCGATCTTTTTAAATGTTCATCAATTGTAACGCCACGTTCATTAAAATGAGACCCAAAATGGTCGTGAGGCAATATTAAACCAGCCAGTTCCCGACTAAGAGGAGCCATTCTGCGCTCTACTCTGTTATACGCACTTCTTCCAGGAGCATTGGTAGCTAAAAACAATGCATCGAGATCATGTCGCTTAAAGTGTTGTATAGCAAACCCTATGACCTTTTGATAACGTGAATTTTCATCTGGCCCTCCATCAACCGTCATAATTACCACTGGTTTTATTAGTCCATGGTCAGTTTTGGCTAATGGTCGAAACTCTTCAAGTTCGAGCAGCGTCTCGAAATACTGAGCATGAGTATTAGCAGTAGATGAACTATGCTTTCCACTTCGAATAGCGATGTATGTTTGTTCAGAATATCCAACGGCTTGCGGTTGTCCTAGCATATTAAAAGTGATTTTGATACCAGCATAAACAGATGGTATTAATTTATGACGCTCAGCGATTACCCAATCGTAATCTGGCAATTTGATTCTATATTCCATGTGCATTAGAAGAGGTGCTTGCTTATTTGCCGCAGTTACGCCAATATGGACTCGAGCTTTATCATCTTGAGATATGAAAAATACTTGATCTGGTCCAAGTATGGATGCTATGTTGTCTAAATATTGGATTTATGTTTCAGCGAACTTGGTATCTAAGGGGCTCTTGTGGTGATCAGTTTGAGCCCGTATGAGGTTAACAGGGACTGTCGATACATGTCTTCGTCCCTCTGCAGAATTAGATTTTCTGGGAATCAAACGAAGATATGTCCCACTGCGACTAATGTCAAATCCTGTTTTACGTAATTCTTGTGATTCCGTTCGTCTTCTATCATCTGCTGCACTCCCAAATAAAGCCATATCCGTGATTGTTTTCAATAGTGAATGTTGATTGCTTTCAAGATTAGGACGTCCCACTGAATCCCTCAGAGATAGTCTTTTTTTTTATTTCTGTATTTTCATGAAAAATATCTTCTAACTTTCTTTTCATGCCATCCCTGTGTTTCTTCTGGCAACTGCGTTTTGAACCTTCCTTTTTAGAGACTGCTTTGCTGTTTTTATTTCCTCGCGCAACTTAATGATTTGTTTATCAACTTCAGCACGGCTTGGCATAGTATCTCTGGCAGAATACAAAGCATTCAGATTTTTTCGAGTAGAGCAATCTTCTTTTTCATAGCTTCCTGAGAAGGTTTTGCTCTCTGTTTATCTGTATTTTCATTTATTTCGCATTGCTGTTGTGATTCATTACCGGGTTCTATTTTATCTTCTTCCTCTTTTTTAATATTTGAAGCTGACTGTATGATTTGGTTTTTCTGCAGGTTTACAGATTGCCTAAAAATAAAAACTTTCTATGGCTTCTGCTAAAGATTCTCTTGTTAAGCTACATAAATACAAAGTATGGCAATATCTATGGTAGATACAAAACCCTATGGCTTTAAATCTAATATGTTTAAACGAGCAATTCGTTCCGGTCACAAAATACAGGGTGTTAGTTTCCTGTATATATGTATAAAACTAACATCATGTACTTTGTGACCAATTCACGGAATCAATCATAAGAAATAAATCTATAATATAATGAGTATCACCTCTATACTTTAAGATGAGCCATAATATTTTTTAATCAGTAAAGAGAAAGTTTTTGGCGATTTCTAATATTTCTAGTACTCATAGGTACCTAAAATGATTTCGTCACTCACCTTAGAAAACAAATTTAGTAGATTGGATTTATTCTTAGTCGCCGCTTGCAATTCTTCTTCGATTCTCTTAGATACAATAATATCTATTTCCTTGTCGGATTTTGCTTGTAATTTGTAATTTCGCCACACTTCTTTAACTAACTTTTGTACATTTTGTACTTTCGTACTTGTATGAGATTTTTTAAAACTTTCAAACAATTTTTGGTATAACTTGGATTTGTCTATATGAAACGACATCTTATTCAAACATTAAACTTTGGCTAATGGAATCAATGGTAACACGAATGTTAACTTGCTTATCCAAACGAAACACTACACTGATAGAGGAAATTTAGACAAGTGAATACCGCGCGGTAATTCCCCTACTCGGTTCTAAAGCGAGTAGGGGAATTACCGCGCGCTCTTCACTAAACGTATGCATTATTTGCGGGAATCCCCGAAAATGTGTTTCGTTTTCAAGTAAAGACAATGTGAGGGTTGCCATTTGTGTAAAGAAGTAAATAACTACCGATGACGTAATCATCATCTAGACTCCCCTACCTCCATGTCATCCAAAATAAGCAAGCAAAACAAAGACCCCCTGCCCCCCCATAGTGCTCACGTAATACTTGAGCGGCCCCCTAGTTTGAAAGACATTTTACAAGAAATCGTCCGTATTCGTTAGATCCTTTACTTTAAAGACGCTTTCTCATTGATTGAATTTGTGACCCACGCACTTTTTTGCGCCCCGGCTTGGTGAAATCAGGCTTTAGGTTTTCTAAAATAGTATGTAGCTTGATAGGTATCAAGATCTCTTAGTTTGGCGTTGGAAATGCTGCAGCATCTCTTATGAAACATCTCTAGACACCGCATATTCATAGTTTCATCATGAGAAGATGCAACTCTCTTGCGACATTGGCCAGACCTATCTTGACCGTATATAGAAAAAATGCATTAGCGCAATGAGATAAAATAAAATGCGGTTCTCCAGTTTGTGCAACATGACGCTGTTAGAATTTGATATCCCATTTAGTAGAGAAAAATCAAAGGACTGTGGATTTCACGTCCAAATGAGTATCAAGAGGACGGTGATGTAGATATCGGTTTCATCATTAGATGTAACTAACTACCGCGCTATAGAAATGGATTTGTAATTGAATTAAAATGAATTAAAATTTCATAGCGAAACTAAATGTTTTGTACGGCAAGTCTATTATTATCCGAATGAATAGTAGAAGCTGTTGTTACCAACATTCAAAATAACTAAATCAGAACCTCAAAAATGGCTTCAAGTAGGTTGAATCTCCACAAAAAATGAGATATAGGGTATTTCAGGCTTAATTGATCTAAAAACAATTTTTATTGTAGCTTGTCACAAAACATCAAAAAACATATGTTATTTTGAAAATTTTACGTGATTACAATACTTCCTCGCCAGTAAGCGTAGGAAATACGACACATATTGAACAAATTGTTACACATCGGAACAAAATCGTGCTAAAAAAGTTCACGATGTGAAGCTGTGGAATCCAGACAAACAAGACTGCATCAACAGCATCAGCGTGGATTACAGTTAAATATGTGTCCCAGAACGACTAGTTGATCCGTTAAGTAAGAAGACTAAACCACGCATAGGTACGGTTGTTTTTCTATTGCAAGCGACCTACACTAACGTTTTTCCGATTCAGCAGACTTTGATACGTCGCAGAGTAAGTGAAGCTGTCCAATTTCGCACAAAAAATTATAGATGTAGAAGTCCACGCTTGATCTATGTATATCGGAACGGATGTTGCGAAACAGCAATGTGGATTGAAATGTTTTAACATTTTCGTCAAGTAGGTTGACTGCGCCTCTTACGTATCTTTAGGTGGATTACGCCAATTACCGCAGATAGTTAATGAATAAAATACACACATTTCAATAAGCTTTTATACAATGAACTAAAAATGAAACAATATTTCTTCCGATTGTAAATATTTAAATGAAAATGAAGCTCCTTCATCTCTTCTACTTAAAAAAAAAGGATATTACACACTTTTTCCAAAATACTGAGAAATGTAACAAGCTTTTTTATTTGAAAACTTGAGATGAAAGAGCTTCATTGTCGAGAATTTCTAACTTTTTCGTTCATTTTATTAATAGTTAGATAAAAGCTTGTTTTAAGAAATATATTTTTTAAATTTATTTATTTTTTATTATTTAGTATTTATGATAACTGGTTGGGTAATTTCTATGTGATCTTCCTATTATAAAATTTCGATAGATATTAAATCATATAACGACAAATCGATATTTTGCGGCGATCTCCATATATGAAATTTAGAATGACGTTATTAGCTTATAGCGTTTCTCTCATTAAGCCCTTTCATTTGATACCCATATTATAACAGTGACTATGGAAAATAATAATAATTATAATAATCGTCTTTATTCGGGACGAAGTTTAACATAGTGCTGTTTTCCCATTTAACTTCAAAAACAAATGTACAAAATACAAAACATAAAAGATTTCAGTATTACAATAATGAGCTAAAACATAACTATATAAAAATAGGTATTAAATAGGTTTTATAAAAATATCTTGAATGAAAATATAAAATATAACAGGTGTGTGTACAAAGATATATACGTAATTAACATTGAAACATTTTTGTGAAGTAGGAGGTAAATTTGAGCAAATCATACAGAAAATTTGCGCAAAATATGTTTTTAATTTGTCATATGTACTAAGTTTAAGGTTGTGGAATGAATAAGTATGTTGTACGAGTATGTGAAGCAGTTACGGAAGAATGATGTCTTGTAAAGAGGCATTGTAAGAGTCTCCGTGAAACGAATGTTCCCTGAATGAATATGGTTTCCAACTTTAGAAACGGAGGTACGGATCTGAGTAACATGTAACGTTTTAAGAGTATAACAAATTAAGCATACCGCAATATAGCTTTTTTATCCTCAACCACTACATGCATTTTATGAAAGTGCTGCTGTGGTCATACTTTCTTGAGTTGTTGATCAATCTGCAACAAGAATTTTGGATTTTTTGAAGACGTGGTAGGTAAACTATATCACAATAAGCGATTTTTGACATAACTATTGATTTACACAAAATCTTTTTAGTCTTACAGTTAAGAAATTGTTTATTGGAGTAGATATACTTGGCGTAAAAACAACTCTTATTTCTATTGGTCACGTGCGGGATAAACTTTAAGACATTCATCAAAAGTAATACCCAATTTTTTTACCAATTCACTTACTTCAATAGTAGAATCATTTAGGCCTATATTAAAATTATGCTTAATATCG